ATGGGACGATACTTCCCCGGTTCCTTTTTTGGAACGAGAGTTATCTTGATAAGTCTCCAAATATCAGGGATTTTTCCGCTTATCAGACAGTCATTAAATATTTTAGACAATGGGATTGAAAGGGTTTCCGCACACACCTTGAGTACTTCGGGTGATAGTTGATCCGGGCCCGGTGCTTTATTCAACTTTGTTTTCAGTGGCTGTTTCAGGACTGTGGCGCGTTCGATAGTTGGTGTTGGCATAGAACTGACTAAGTCTGGCAGGGCAGTGCACTATGAAACTGGACTAAACTCAGAATTTAGTCTTTCAACATCGACAGTTTCCTTTTAGTGTTTATTGATACTGCCACATAATCGGTTGATAGCCCTCCACGTGTCTCGACAACTAGAGTTCCCCAGGATATTGTCGATGTACAATTTGTTAAACTGATTTATTTCAGCCGCTTGGCATGGATTCTTTGTCCTTGTTTATAGGCTTGTTCTTTCCGCCTGCGTAGCTTCTTGAGTAGCGGTGATGAATATCTATCTGTCTTTACGGATAAAGACCGTTTCTAGTGGACAACATTGGTTGAAACAAAAATTAAGGTACTCCGTTACATGTTCACAGAGAACAGAAGGGTTCTGATTAGGGAAACACTAAAAAATCTGTAGTGGCAATCGTGGACCTTAGCCTTTCTAGATTTGCTGATGCACAATTTCTTTGACTCACTGCCTTAAAAGGCCTTCTTAAAAATGTGTATCGCTTAGCTTTGCTGTATATAATGGGACATACTTTTGAGATACAATGATCTGAACTGCTCGAAGGAGCACGTTTATGGACTTCAAACAATTGCGGTCTGTTTGTGAAATCAAGTTCTGAATTGAGTCTGGTAGGAAAATGTACCACATTTTGTAGACCCAGTGTGGTGAGGAATGTTACATCATGTCTGTTGAAATCACCAAAACATATACACAAAGGTTCACTTGTTTTTGATACTCTGAAAGTAGAAGAAATGTCAGAAAAGCTGTTTATGTCAGCCACTAATATTGTGGGTGACAGGTAAGTTTCCCAGAAGTATGGAAGGAAACCCACTCAAAAAACGGGGCAACTGGACAACTGATTTTATCCGTTGAGTATTCGCTGAGATGACAGCGGTTGATTTACTCCAATTGTCGCCAACGTAACTTGCAACACCTCTGCTTTGTTTACGGACACTCGCGGGATGGTCAACCCGATACAAGTTATATCCATCTACTTGTAAAATTTCACCAGGGATTTCTTTGTGCAGCCAAGATTCCTGAAGCATAATAATTCTCAGGTTGTTGTACTCCTTTTTCCGTGTGATATCTACTGCCTCCTAGACTTCTCCTAACAGAGAACTAACATTGCTTGTTAAAATGAGAGGACTTGGCATTTGACTGGTGCAGCATTGTCTGAGAGTGACTTGCCATCCTGCTCGATGTTTTCTCTTTCTGCCGTTTTGTGTTTTGATCATCCGCTTGAATTTATTTCTCACATTATTGGAATATTTCACAAAATGGGGCAGTTCGCGCGATAACACATAACGATTTCATGAACGTGCTCGGATAGGATAACATTTGGTCTCCTTGAAATTGATCACGATGCGATTTGATGACAAGTAAATTCACAAAAGTGTAAATGCTATTTTCGCGATAAATGGCCTCGGCTGAATTCAATGGTCCCGCTATGGTTGCGATGAAAAACAACAGTTGCTTTACGGTTCATCTAATTTGGTTCTTGATGAAAGATTTGGGAAAATGATGTGAATAGCATTGGTAGTGATGGTAACTGAAAACTTCGTGAGTACTCACAATTCAATCACTCTCTCTTTCTCTCTCTCGATAGACGTGAGTTCCACCATTAAAAGCGTCGAAGAAAGTAAGGTTTGTGTATGTGTGTGTGTGTGTGATCAAGCGAGCCTGACTGTGTCTTACCGACTCCACATTGCAGATTATTGATATTTTGGATTCGGCCAGTGCGAACAAGGAAAACTATCGAAAGATTATGGATGCCACATTGTCCTGCATGCATCATTTGCATGCCCCGGAACAAGTGATGGATAAAGTCCGAACATGGTTTATGTACAATTGGGAACAACAGAAGACATTTGGTGAGTCCGAATTCATTTACCTTCTAGTTCTGTGCTCCCAAATGCTAATTTCTGTTGTTGTTGTTGTCGTTGTTGTTGTTGTTGTTGTCGTTGTTATTGTTGTTGTTGTTGTTGTGTTGCCTTCTTTCATTATTCATTTGATTGCGCTGGTATTGCTGCTTTGTCGGTAAAATTTCTCTACGTAGTAGAGTTGCTAGCAGTACTGCTACAACTCTGTGAAGGGAATCATGGACGATGAGAAATTGGGTTCCATGGTTTTAGATATATACATAGACAAAATTCTAAACCGAATTTGTTGGTTTGTACAACTGAGAATAAGCAACGTGACCTTGACAGTGGATGTCGATCCCCCTAGTTTCGGCAACCCATAAATATTCATTGTATGGTCTAAATAACCTGGATCCAGTCTCATCGGATCTCATTCTGATTGATTAGATCGATCGTTATAATCTGACAAGACTAAGATACTGAACGCTTAAGATTTTCACGGAATATGTTCAGAGGAATGAATCATCGTTTTTTATTAGGCTAGTTTCGTTTTCAGATGAATTGATGATGAGTCTTTGGCAGACTGAGGGTATGAACCCTTTAATATGGTGATTTATGTGTGTGAGTTGAACTTAAATTTTGAATGCTGTCCCGATGGCAACTGTCTTTATAGTAGCACATATACTTTACCTTTTTCATCCGCGTAAAACGAAATATGTTTGAATAAATGCTACGCGGTCACATTCTAAAACTCATTTTTGTGCACGGTTCGGCAGAAACAGCATTTACCGTGGATTAGATAGAAACCACCATATTTGGTGCGATATGAAGAAATTAGTCCGATGATTGCATACATGAGAAGACTCCAACATATTCAGTCGTCTACTATGTATTGGGACTAAATTGCTTGGTCAACAACCTAAAGCAAACGACGTTGAAAAACAATTAAGGAACTTAAAGTATCAAACTGGTGATAAACACAATGACGAAAATTCCTCTATGGTAACCAAAAGAGGGAAATGTGTGCGTGTGTGTTATTATGATATAAACTTATTATTGATTATAGCTGTCATAGCTTCGGATGCCGGTGTGGAGATGAGCTAGGTGAGGTGCGCAGAATAAGCTTAGGAAGATTCGTTGTTCCCTCGCGTGTATAGACCAGATAAAAACACAGTCTGATCAGCTGCTCGATGGTCACCTGGATAGTTCCCATTCGTGCAATGTGATATCGGGCTAGATCAACTCACTTTTGATTTGACCCGACCAAGCCAATCGTCTGTGTAGTCTGTCGGTACTTCTCAATTCAAGTAGCCGTTTGCTCTAAACCCGTGGAAATCTATCATGTGCTGACTGTTCGGATGCTTTTCTTTTAATCTCTCAATGAAGTGAACGTGATGAAAACCAAATTTCAAGTCATCTGATTGCCAGTGAGTAGTAGTAAATGAATCATATGAATGATTCACTCCACTTAACCTTCCTTGAAATTATATTCCCATAATAATTTTACCATAAACGTGTGGTCAAATTAAACGAAGTGACTGTTGATGAAGGAAGAGATGGAATCACACGTAACCGATTCGTTGTATTCTGTTAGTAAATTCAATATCACTTACAAAAAAAGCTCTATGCGCCTGAATGCCGTCCTCATTGCGCGTTCTGTTTTTCACATTTCACCC